TAAGATTTCAATTTATTAAGCGCAAGTCGCAGCAACACCCGCACATACCTGGTGAACCACCTCCAGGGTCGAACTCGCAGCCAAATCCATTGACTTCTGGCCCATCTCCGTTGCTATGCTCACTGTGTCGCCGCCTACAGATTTTACTCCCGTACCTACAGCATTTACTCCCGTACCTACTGCTTTAGACGCAACATCGTAACCAGATGTCACTGCACCTGTGGCGACGCCCACACCTTTGGTCGCAGCACCGACACCGGAGTTAACGGCCTTAGAACCGAAGGACATGACATTGCCGAATACAGACTTAGCATCTGCAAAGTATAGGAAGTATAATATACAACATGGTAAGATATTGAAATATACCATATAAAATAAAGAATATAAAACATGGTATAATATAGCATAGTATAGTATATATAGTATATAATATATAATATACATGGTATGATATTAAAATATACCATAAAGAATATACAATATACAACATGGTATAACATAGCATAGTATAGTAAATATAGTATACGACATGGTATGATATTAAAATATACCATATACGATATACAACATGGTATAACATAACATAGCATAGTATAGTAAATATAATATACGACATGGTATGATATTAAAATATACCATATAAAATATACAATATACAACATGGTATAATATAGCATAGTATAGTAAATATAATATACAACATGATATGAAATTAAAATATACCATATACGATATACAACATGGTATAACATAGCAAAGTACTGTGTGATATGAAATAATATACAATGGAGATATCAACTGCGAGTACGGCAGCATTGTCAGGATAAGGAACCGTAAGCTATAGTGTAGCAGGAATATCTGCGTTGGTCAATTCGGCAACAGCCTACATACATGGCACTTGATGTCAAGCACAAGACAACGCCAATCAGACACTCGGGTATGGCAAGACGTACATAACGATGGTATATAACATGTGATGTATCATATGCATAACGATGGTATATAACATGTGATATCATGCATGGCACTTGATGACAAGACGTACATAATGATGGTATATAACATGTGATGGATCATATACATGACGATGGTATATAACATGTGATGTATCATACACATAACGATGGTAGATAACATGTGATGTATCATATACATAACGATGGAATATAACATGTGATGTATCATATACATAACGATGGTATCTAACATTTTGATGTCATGCATGGCACTTGATGACAAGACGTACATAACGATGGTATATACCATGTGATGTCATACATGGCGCTTGATGACAATACGTACATAACGATGGTATATAACATGTGATATTATATACATAACGATGGTATATACCATGTGATGTTTCAAATACATAACGATAGTTGTATATAACATGTGATGTATCATATGCATAGAGTGAGTACCGGAAGGAGAATTCATTCCATAAGTGGGCAGTGAGAAAGACTTTCGTCTAAAGCTTAGGGTTTGGACTGGCATGAGATGTGACACCGACAGTGGACGAGCGCATTGGAATGTAGGTGTGTGTGTATGGACATACTATTAACAGCTACACACGGATACACACTGTATTTACCAGCACAGGCCATTGGCTTCGCAGAGGTACACACTGTAAGTACGTGCCTATACAATCGGATAAGGATAACAAGTCATTCCAAGCACTATTCGGTTATATCATAGACTCAAGTAACCCCCCCCCCCCCACACACACTCCCATCACCCACACTTCCGTATACAAACGCAACTATCACACTCACCCTCCTTCTCAGCAGCCTTCTTTGGCTTTGAAGCCTTCTGCTTGGTCTCTGGTATCTCCACTTTGTCCTCTCGCTTATCCGCTTGGGCGTCCTTTTTCTTCTCCGCATCGGTCGCTTGCTTGACATTCTGCTGCACTTGCTGCACCTCTTTGGCTACTTTTGGGGCCGCTTGTTTGTCCACGTCAGTGGTCCGGTTCTTGGGCTTAAATAGATCGAACACATGTAGCACGGTACCTGTGTGGTGGTGATGAGAGAAGATTCGTATCAGTTGAGTTAAGGATTTGTATTAGATAGCTGAAGGACCTTGGAGGTTAATACATGGTGTTACAGTTGTATATATGTGTATATAGACGTGTACATATATTTATGCAATAACTTGATTTTCCTAGGCAATCCGTGATATCAACATACTATAATATGTAAGTGTACCGGATGCAATTCTGTACATACATACGTATATAATATATT